TTTCGATGGGCAGCATGATTGGTTCCATGTATTTGCTTTTGTAAATAATGCTGTGATAAACATGTGTGTGCAGGTATCTTTTTTGTAGAATGATTTAAGTTCCTCTGGGTGTGTTTCCAGAAGGGGGATTGCTGGGTCATATGGAAGGGTTATTTTATCTTCTCAAGTAGCTTACAGTTCACTGATTTTCTCCATTTTTTGTTTTCCATATTATTGATTTCTGCACAATTATTTCCCTTCTGCTTACATTTGGTTTAATTTTTCCTTTTTTAGTGTCTTAAGATAGTAACTGAAGTTATCAGTTTGAGACTTTTCCTCTTTTTACTGTGGGAATTTAGTGAGATATATATATGATATATATATTAAGTACAAATGTAGCTTCAACCTACAAATTCTGATGCACTATATTTTCATTTCATAAGCTTCTCATTTATCTTTTGATTAGTCATTTACCCATGTTATTAGAAACATTGTCATTTAACCCATGTTAAAACATAAATAATTCACATTGTTTAGAAATGTATAGTGCTTGTGATCTTTGCCCTATTTATTGCAAATTTAATTGCATTTTTGTGACTTAAATCCTCTTAAATTTATTGACACTCATTTTATGGCCCAGTATATTTACAACCTTGATGAATATTAGATTTGCAGTCAACAGAATGAGTATTCTGTTGATGTTGAGTAAAGTATTACTGAAATGTCAGGACTATTTAATTGACAATCTTGTTCAATATCTACCATAAGTGCACCATCTACTATACCCTTGCTATATTTCTCCTAATTGTTCTGTCAATTACTGAGAGAGGAATATTGATGTCTTCATTTGCAGTTGTGAATTGTATTTCTCTTTACAATTTTATCAGTTTTTGTTTCATTTATTTTAAGAATCTGTTCAGAAAGAATTATGTCCTTTTGATGAATTGAGCTCTTAATAATTTTTAAATAATTTATTTTATACCTACTAATATTATTTGTTATGAAACATACTTTTTCTAACCATTCCTAATTGTTGATGCTAGCATAGTGCTCTTATGTCATAGTTTACTTTTACCCTATTTTATTTCAATCTATCTTTGTAATGGAAGTGAATTTGTTTTCAGTAACATGTAATTAGGTCTTTCTTTTTATTCAGTCCGGCATTCTGTATTTTTATTGGTGTATTTCAGTTATTTACATTTAATGCTATTAGTAATACAAATAGGTTTAAGTGTATCATCTTGCTACTTTTTTGTGTCTTATCTCCCTTACTCATGTTGACGAAATGATGTCAAACTCTATAAAATATTTAAGGTGCTTTATTTTTGAGTCAAACTTGAGAACTTAAGCCTGGGTACACCGACTCTCAGGAGGTCTTGAGAAAAATGGGCCCACTGTGTTTGAATGATGGCTTCGATTTATACAATTTTAGGGTGGCAAAAGTTACAAAAACCATAAATCAACACATGTGAGATTCTTATTGGCTTGGCCCAGGAAGGCGGAACATTTCCAAGCAGGGGCTTGTAGATTATAATTAGGTTCAAAGATTTCTTGACTAGTAATATGTAGTTCTTATCAGGAGATAAGATGTTTTGCTGAGACAATGGTAGAAAGACCCTGTGTTTGTTGATATGTAGAAAAAGTTCTATGTGTGATAATCAACTTCAGAAAGGAAAGATAAGTGTGTCTTACAAAGTTCCCAGAGAGTGGGAATCCATAAAAGGCGGCTTTCCAGGACATAACTCTTCTTTATTTGTTATTTGATGTGATGTGATGTCATGCCAGAGTCAGGTTGGAAAGCATATTTTAGGACATAGGATAACAGGGGTAATAAAACTCTGTTTGGTGAGTCCTTGTCAGGCAGTGACTCCCCAAGCCTGGGTAAGAGAAAAAAGTCAGGTTTAGTTCTCATTTATTTTTTCCATCTTAATGGCTTCTTTTTTATTAATTGAAATTTTAAATTATTCTATTTTATTTATTATTTATTTTATGTTTTTATTAGATATAAGTTTGTTTTTATTTTAGCGTTTGATTTAGGGTTCATATTATACATTTAAAATTTATCACTGTCTACCTTTAGGTAATATTATACTACTTTGCATATAGTATAAGAACTTACAATGGTTTTCTTTTCCCCTCTTCACAACTTTGGCACTATTGTTCTATATGTTTTAATTTTAATACATTATAATACATATACTACATTACTTTTTAAAAATTTTTAACTATCAATCATCTTTCTAAGATATTAGAAATAAAATATTTCAGTGTATTTATCTATGTAATTATCATTCTTTGTGTTTGTTTTTCTTTTGTGTAGATCTATAATTTGCCATCAATATCGTTTTCTCTACCTGAAACTTTTTAAAGAAACACTTCTCATAGTGTAGGTAATGAATTATTTTATCTCAAAAAAATCTTTATTTTGCTTTGAAAGACATTTTCTGTAGTTATAGGGTTCAAGTTGGCCATTAAATTTTTTTTTTGTACAGTAAATATCTTGTTTCAACTATATCCTTGTTTGAGTTATTTTCAGTGATAAATCCACAATTGTATTTATCTTTGTTTCTCTGCACATAATGTGTCTTTTATTCTCTAGTTGCTTTTAGGGTTCTCTTTCTATCACTGGCTTTGAGAAATTTGATTATAATGCAACTTGCTATGATTTGTTTTCATGATTCTTGTGCTTGGAGTTTGTTTCGTATCTTGGATATGTTGCTTTTATTAAATTTGGAAAAATTTCAATCATTAGATCTGCAAACAGATTTTCTATTCTTACCCTTTTCTGCTCTCTTTTGAGCACAAAAGTACATATATATTAGGCTGTGTTAATTTGTCTCACAAATGACTGATGCTTTATTCATTTCTAGATAAAGTGCTGTTTTCTCTCTGTTTCATTTTAAAATAGGTTCTACTATTATGCCTTGAACTAGTCTTTTTTTGTCCCAATGGCTAATCTTTTCTTAATACAATTCAAAAAATTTTAAATCTTTTAAAAAATCTTAGTGTTCATTTTTAAAAGTTCAATTTGTGTCTTTGTTTTCTTCACTAAAATTATAGCACATTTTATTTCTTTCAGACTTTTTATTGCAGACATTATAAAGTACATTCAATAAAATTTACTTTTAAACAATTTCTATGATTCGTATATACTCTCAAAGTTTTTCTTGATTTAAATAAATTATTATCAGTGCATTCAGTTCTTTTACTTTTTCATTATTTGATATATTAGACATATTAGACTTTAACTTTATAGAAATTAGCTAACTTATAAGCATTACAGCAGATTACCAAATTCTTTGTCATTGCTGACTCATAGGGAAATAACTTCTGACTGAATAAAGTGAATTTGCATAGCCCTGGGAATATGTGAACAACTCTGCTCTTGAGACTGGGATAGTGGTCATTATTGTTATTAGTCCCTGGGCCCAGCTGAAAAGCCTAATCTATGAGTTTTGTGTTATACATGGTACTTTTTTAGAGTCTATAAATGAACCCACTCATCCTTGGTCCACTCGTGGAAAGGGATACATCCTTGACCATGAATTTGACAACACACGTACAGACTAAGAGTTTTGGCAAGAATTAAAAAAAAATTAGGAGGAAAAAAAAACAAAAAAAACAAAAAAAAGAGAGTGGGCAATGTTAAACCTTTAGAGCCACTTAGAAGTTAATCAGAGAGCCAAGGAAACAAATCTTAACATAAGACAAGCCCATAATGTACACTTCTTGAGCAACAAAATTAAATTTATTTAATTTAGACTTTATCACTATAAAATATAATTTTTCAGTATTCTAAAGTCATGATTCTCATATAAGTACAAAGTTGAACATATGTAAAAAATGTTTTTCTCTGTCTCTTCATGGAGGAACCAGTGGGATAATAAAGCTTGGTTTAAAGAGTATTTGAGGAACTGAATATTCACAGGTATTAAAAAAGATGTTAGGGTAACCCCCTGGGGTCCCCTCCCACTGAAGAAACTTTTCTGTCCTCTCAATAAATCCTGCTTTCTAAAAAAAAAATAAAAATGAAAAAATGAAAAAAAAAAGTTAAAGTAAGATTGTTGTTTATGCAAATTTGTGAAAGACAGCAAATTGTTTTTTTAAATATTGATACTTTCTCATTATACCTATATGTATTTTCCTTCAGAAACAATTTGAATAGTTTTGAGTTAAATGTTAACTTTATAAGCTTGGATGACACAAGTGTATATATTGTCTTTTTATCCACTGCTTGGAGAATTTGTGTGAGATTTGGTACAGGTAATACTTGTTGGCAACTTGAGGAAAAGTTGTCGGAAACCTATTTTGGGGAGAGAAGCATTATATAAACCTGGCCTCCAAGATATTTGAAAGGTAGAAAAATTTTAATTTATTTTGCATAGGATAATAATAATAGCCATAAGGAATTAGGGCGTGCATTGAAGAAAGGAGAGTTTACACAGATGATGGCTACATGCGTCTTAACAAAAACAGGAATACAGAAATGAGTCCAAGAAGATATCAGCTAAAGAGTAAATTCTGAAGAAATTAAAAATCCATAATTGTGAACATTATTGCAAATGAAATGCAAAATAAACTTTTTCTTGTGTCCTTGATCTTTCTTCTTTTAAAATCCACAATGTTTTCTAAATGTTTATGATGTGAATTTATCATTTCATACAGGACTTCTGATTTCTTCTTTAAGATTGATATGGAGAAACCAGAAGCTGTCCAAGTGAGCATAGTCATAATGGATTACAAATAATTCTAATATTAATTTTTAGCTCTACTTTCTGGATTTCTTTCTTTCTTTCATGATAATCTGCTATGAGTTTCTCACAGTGTTACCAATTTTTTTCATGTACAAAAATTCAGTCAATAAATCTCTATGTAATGCTTAAGTAGTTAATGAGAAGGCCTAATTTTTTCATTGCTGTTAGCAACTTAGGAAAAAATGGAAATACATTTAGAGCCCAAAGAGAAATAAATTTAAATATCATTGGTTTATAACCTATTCTTATGTTTCTCTTCCCTCCTAGTTAAAAGCAGTGAATACACTTTGTAGGGCTAAAGCTGATGAACAATGTGATTTTGTGGAATATTGCAATGGGAGAGACTCATACTGTAAGGAAGACACTTATGCTCACGATGGAGAATATTGTGATTCAGGTGGTGCCTTCTGTTATCTTGGAAAATGTATAACTGTTGACAAACAGTGTTCTTTCTTAGTCAAAAAAGGTAATAATCATCATTTACTTCTTATTTCCTAAATTCTGATTATTTCAAAATCTGTTAGTGTATTCTATGAACAAAATATAACATAATTTGTTAGTGACTGAAGACCTGACTAGAGTATATTAGTGTTAAAGGAAAACACAATTTCCTTGATTGTGAAAACAAAACAAAACAAAACTAAACTAAACTAAAAACCCTCTCTGAACTTAAAAGGAATTCTTGTTCCCACAAAAAGTGAAAACTGAAGTGAAAATGCAGCTTTTCAAAATATTTTATATAATTATGGTGGTGGGGTTTAATGTAAACTAAAAGGAAACAAGGGTTTTTTAATTAAATCAAAGTATGCTAATCTCTGATTAATTGGGTTTCAAAGGGCTTGCCGATAAGTGAGGGCTTCAGCTCACTGCTGATATAACCTAGTTTGATAGTTTCCTATAAATTTGTGCATTATTTGCTTCATTGGAAGATATAACTTCCTGCACTTAAGAAATTCACATACTCCAAGACAGTGAAAATTTTCATTTTTAACCCACGGAAGAGGTTGTTAAACACAGGGGTGCCAAAAAATGTATATACATTTTAAGAGATGTTATCTATATATTACTTTTCAAAGTTGAATTGAATTGCAGTAGCAATGTGTAGCATGACATTCATTCAAAAGATGGAATTAAATGAATGCTAGCACCACCGTGCAACAGGCAGATATATATTGAGTATTACAATTTTAATTGTGTATACAGTTTTTTGGCACCTTCAGTAGTGTCTTGATCAATATTACTACCAAAAATTTAAGGAGGAGGTGAGGTAGAAGTTTTGGTAATTAGTATAACTGTGTTCTGCCTTTCTCTCAGAATTGTTATTTTCACCACCTGGTAAGACAGTAGCCATAGAGTAGCATTTAAAATGTAATTAAGATACAAATAAATGAATAAAATTAAGAGGAATGGAAAAGTACTCTAGATCTATGATCTAATGTTTCTTCACTTAAAACCAGGACTCAGAGGTATAACCATGGCAACCCTGAGTGGGCTGTGAGAGGCTCCAGCCCTTAGTTGGTCTGTGAGAAAACAAATTACTAGCCTGCAAGAATTTTATGCTGTGCACTAGCATACAATACAAACATTGTTGAAAATAAAGTTATTTGTCCTCTTGTCAAATGAGAAATTAATTCTATCATTGAATAAGGATACTTATGAAGAAATGAAACTTCAAGTTTGCCAATCTCAACATTCTGACAGAAAAGCATGGAGTTTAGGAGGAAGGTTAAAATGGCCAACTGGAGATTTTGGGTGACTGCTGCTTTCAGCAAAGAATTTTAAAAGGGGTGAATCTGGTGCTTTGAGGGTCTGCCTGGAAACACAAGCTAAGGTTTATCAGATGGTCACCTGGGTATGTGAAGAATGGACAACTCCAAGCCTCAGTCAACCCCAGAAGCAGCCCCAACATGATATTGGGAGAGTGCTCTTGGAGAAGAAAGTGGTAGACCAGATGAGGAAGATCAAGGAAGAAAACAACAACTACCACCCCAATATGGGTAATTTTATCAAATAAAAAAATAACAAAACAAAAAATAGAAAAGATTGTCCTCACAAATGAGAAATAACCAGCAAAAAAACCAAAAAACACCCCCAAACCTTGTAAACCTTAGCAATTTGACAGCCACAAAGAAGCTTCTCAGGTCCCAAGTAACCAAACTCATCCAGATGACCTGTCCCTGGTGACAGGCATAGAATTTAGATGATATATGGCAAAGAGACTGAGGGAGATCCAGGAGAAAGTAGACACTCAGATCAAGCAGGCCACAAAAACAATGCAACAAGTGAAAGATGACCTTGCCATTCTAAGAAAAATGAAACAAACAAAAAACAAACTGTACTTCTGGAAATGAAGAGTGCTCTTCTGGAATTTCAAAACACAATAGCAAGCTTGAACATCAGAATTGACCAGGCAGAGGAAATAATCTTAGAACTTAAAGAATGAATTAGTGATTTAATCCAGCCTGACAAAAATGGGGAGAAAAGAATTAGAAAAAATGAGCAAAAGCCTAAGAGAGGTCTGAGATTATGCAAAGAGACAATCTATGGCTGATTGGCATTCCTCAGCGAGAAGGGGACACTGAAAATATCCTGAAACAAGCCTTCCAACATACCATCTAAGAAAGCTTTCCTGCCATTGTTTTGCTAAGCTCTGGTCTGGCCACATGACTCCTTGAGCTTTGGCTGCCATGTTTTCTTAGCTTTGACCCCCTCCCCTACCTTGAGGAGGTGAATCTCCCCTCTCTCTCTAATTTACTTTCTAAATAAACTATATTTTCCAATTTTAAAAAGGAGAAAACTTTCCCTACTTCACTGGAGAGGCAGCCATACAGATGTAAGAAATTTAGAGAACTCTTGTGAGGTATTACATGAGAAGATCATCCTGAAGTCTTGCCAAGGTGAACAACCACAGAATATATTTTCTTCTCATCAACACATAGAACTTACTTTAAGATTGACACATATTTGGACATAAAGCAAATGTGAACTAATTTCAAAAGATCGAAGTCATACTAAGTATCTTTTCAGATCACAGCAGAATAAAAATATATATACCACCAGTAGAAAACCTCCAAAATATGCAAATACTTGAAATTTGAACAACATGCTTTTTAATGACTTTGGGGTTAATGCAAAAATCAAGACAAAAATCAAGAGATTCCTAGAGACAAATGAAAACGAAGACACAACACACCAGAACCTCTGGGATACCATGAAAGTGATGCTGAGAGAGAAGTTAATAGTATTGCATGCAATAGTATTGCATGTATCAAGAATGTAGAGACTGCAAGAAAACAAACATTGCACCTAAGGGAGTTGGATAGACAAGAACAAACCAATCCCCAAACCACTAGAAGAATAGAAATTATCAAGATGAATTTAAAGCTAAATAAAGTGCAGACCAAAAAAAATCACACAAAGGATCAAGTTGAAAAGCTGGTTATTTGAAAGGCTATTTAACATTGACAGATCCTTGGCCAGATAACTAAAAAATAAAATAAATAAATAAATAAATAAGGACAAAATGAAAAAAGCAATACTACAGCCAAGCCTAAAGAAATATAAAAGATGATCAGAAATTACTATGAACATCTGTATGCAAGTAAGCTAGAAAATCTAGAGGAAATGGAGGAATTCTTGGCAATACACAACCTCCCAAGATTGAAACTGAAAGAAAACAAAACCCTAAACAGACCAATAAGCCAATAAATTGACATAGTAATAAGAAATCTTTCTGCCAAAAAAAGCCCTAGGCTAGATGATTTCTCAACTGAATTTTACAAGTTGTACAGTGAAGAACTGATACCAATCCCACTGAGAGCATTCCAGGTCATAGAGAAGAAAGAAATTTTCCCTAGCTCTTTCCATGAAGTCAATATCATCCTGTTACCCCCAAATGGTAAAGACCCAACAAGAAAATAAAACTTCAGGTCAATTTTCCTGATGGACATTGATGCAAAAATTATCAACGAGATACTAGTAAATCACATCCAGTAGTACATTTCAAGGATGATTCATTATGACCATGAGGGTCTTATTTCTGAAATTCAAGGCTCGTTCCAGGCACCCAAGTCAATAAATATAATTGACCACATAAACAGATTTAAAGTTAAGAACCACATGATTTCTAACTAGATGCAGAAAAAGTATCAACATCTCTTCTTGATTAAAAACCCTCCAACACCTAAGCATTGAAGGAGAATCCCTCAAAATAATAAGGTCCATCTATGAAAATCCTGCATCCAACATCATACTTAATGGGCAGAAACTGGAAACATTTACCTTAAGAACTGGAATAAGACAAAGATATCCACTCTCAATCACTCCTACTTAACATAATACTGGAAGTCCTAGCCAGAGTAATCAAGCAGGAAAAGTAAATTCAACATATCCATACAGGAAAAGATGAAGCTAAGTAGCCCCTCTTTTCAGATGATATAGTTCTATACCTAGAAAACCCTAGAGCGTCTGCTAAAAGCCTCCTTGTACTGATAAACAATTCAGGAAATTCTCAGGGTATAAAATAAGTGAGCAAAAATTGGCTACATTTCTAGACACCAAACACAAGCAGGCTGAGAACCAAATCAAAAATGCGATCTCATTCACAATGGTCACAAAAAATAAAGTACCTCAGCACTCAAACTAAAGAGGTAAAAGATCATTACAATAAGAACTATAAAACACTGCTCAAAGAAATCAAATATGACATAAATGGAAGACATCTCATGCTTATTGATTGGAAGAACCAATATTGTAAAAATGACCATTATATTCAAGGAAATTTACAGATTCAATGTAATACCTATCAAACTACTGGTTTCATTTTTCACAGACCTAGAAAAGACAATACTTAAATTCATATGGAAGGAAACAAAACAAAACAAAAAGAGCCTAAATAGCAAAAACAGTCCTCAGCAAAAAGAATAAAGCTGGTGGCATCACACTCCCATACTTCAAACTTTTATTACAAGGCTGTAGGAACCAAAATATCCTGGTACGAGTACAAGAGTAAGCACATAGACCAATAAAACAGGGCAGAGAACCTGAAAGTAAAACTAGATCTTCAACTAACTCATTTTTGACAAAGTCAAGAAAAATAAACATCAGTGAAAGGAAACCATATTTAGCAAATGGTGCTGGCACAACTGGCTAACCACATGCAAAAGAATGAAACTGGTCTACCTATCACCATATACAAAAATTAGTTCAAAATAAATCAAAGACTTAAATGCGAAACCTCAAACTATAGGGACATTAGAGGAAAATTCAGGAAACACCCCCTGGACATAGGACTAGGCAATGAATTCATGGCCATGTCCTCAAAAGCTAAAATCGACAGATGGGACCTTATCAAGGTAACACGTTTTGCACAGCAAAAGAAACCATCAAGACAGTAAAGAGACAACCCACTAATGGGAAAAAATATTTGCAAGCTATGCACCCGAGAAAGGCCTAATATCCAGGATT